ATTCCTGCTTCTGTAACACCATTATCCAAGCCTTTGGTTTAAGTCGCAAAAAGCAGCAAGCAGGTGGGGGACTCCATGCACCTTTCGCGTTAACTGTTTTTCAAGAACTTGAGCTTGGTGGAATAGGATCATACTTGGGCATCTAATGGGTGGAATAGGATCTGGCCCCGGGTTTATACCATTTTTAAAAGATGCATCAATGAGTGAATGTCCTGTTTTAAAGCTTGTGCTAAATCGGAATGTATCAAGTAGAGTGGGGAACAAAGTGGTATTTCAAGCAGTGTCCTGGTTTGGGTTGTTTTTTCTGAGAAATTTGGGTTTATGCTTCATTCCCGTTGCTGAAGATGTAACACTTGTTAGGCAGAGATCCAAATGCCTATCAATTTCCTGATTTGGTTAGAGAAGTTTAGTGAGGAAAATACAGAATAATTTTATAATTTCATAAATTTGCTTTTCTACTTGCCCTACAGTTTATTCTTCCTCTCCCTCCTCCCCCCCCCCACCCCAAGTCAATTAGCGGTCAATAATGCCTGCTGCTAATCCATGTTATAATAAGCTTTTTTAATAGAGTTATTTGTTAGCAACTGTAGACATCTGAAGAACACTTGCTGGCAATATGCTGCCAGCTAGTTACAACATGCTGGTTCTCCTCGTTCACATAATAATGAACCATCTCCCCTCCCCCACACACAATATTCATGAGATTCAATCGTGCAAAGTGCGTACCAAAGGAAGGGAGAACTGCCATTCCAGAAATGTTTTTCCAGTTAACACCAGTATTGTACATGTACTCATATGCAAAATAACCTGTGCTCAAAGGATAAGCATGTCATAATTAACTATATTTGTGTCATTTTTACAGTGAACATGAGTTTGATCCAGACTCCTACAAAATTCCTTTTGTAATTTTGTCTTTGAAGACATTTGCACCACAAGTCCATAGTCTGCTGCAGACGCATGAGGGCACTTTGCCTTTACTAAGGTAAACTATTCTAACTTGAGGTTTTAATTTTTAAATTTCTGTATCAATTTAACTTCTCCTTCTCTTGCAACATGCTAAAGTGCTGTGAAATGGTATATTTATAACAGACATGTCTTTTTTGCAGCTGAGGTTTTTTTGTTGCAACAACTTTTTGTCCAATAATTCTGAGAGCAGTTGAATAAATACTTATTTTTGTGGAGTCAAAAAAAAATCTATGCCCTCTTATTAATAGGATGTTTGGAAGTTCCTTGAGCAAGGAATATATCCCCTTTTATAGCATTGTATTTATTCATAAGATGAATGGCAGTAGAGTAAGATCTTTATTATTTAGGAGGGTTTCTTTTGTTCTTCACACCCCTGTCCTTTTTGTTTTTTTAGTTTTCCTGATTGATATACTTCGGAGTTCAGTGATCTAGAAATAGTAAAGTTTTCCTGATTGCTATACTTCGGAGTTCAGTGATCTAGAAATAGTACAGGAAGGCCAGGGAGGAGTTCCCTTGGAGCATCTCATCACCTGTGTTCCTGGAGTTAATATTGCCACTGCTCAAAATGGCATTAAAGTTGTTAAATGGATACACAACAAACCACCACCTCCTACTACAGGTACAATATATGTTGCTTTTTCATTTTTATTCTTTGTATCTGGGCATCCAACAGGAAAGGAAAATCATTGTTAGTTCTCAGAAAAAATATATATTGTGAAGATTGAGTTAATCCATAAAATTGTTAAATCCACCATTTTAAAATGTCTGAAAGTATTTTTTTTTGTTTTGTTTTGTTTTGTTTCAGCAATGTTGCATATGATAAACTTTCGTATTATTTGGTGGGGTATGGAAAACTATTTGATAAGAATTGTGTAACAACTTTTAAATTGCATAGATATTCCCTTTTTGGGTGTATAGCAATGATAAAATCTCAGTAATATGCATAGTTATATGAAGCAAATGCCTTCTCATTCTAAATAAAATTCTCCTCCTTAGATCCATGGCTGCTTCGATCTAAAAGCCCTGTAGGTAACCCACAGCTTATTCAGTTCAGTAGAGAAGTGATTGATCTACTTAAAAGCCAGCCATCCTGTATCATACCTGTCAGTAAATTCATCCCAACATATCACCATCACTTTGCAAAACAGTGCCGTGTGTCTGACTATGGGTATTCCAAGTTAATGGAGCTGCTGGAAGCAGTGCCTCATGTACTGCAAGTGAGTTAAATGCCACTCCTTTGTCTTGTTAAAATGTAAATTTATATCTAGAATCAGCTCACTTAATGAGTCTGTCAGTAACTGTCACTTTATGTAATAGACTGTAATTGTTATGCTGTCATCTTTGCAAAGGAAATAGTCAGCCTTGCAAAGGCTTGGAGTCAGTTGTTTGGTTCTGGTGAGAGAATCATCATAACTACTTCTCTGTGCATGTGTGTGTATGTGTAGCAGGGGGGGACATTTTTGGTTTTAATAGACTTCTAAATATATAAAGCTCTGTTTAAATTTAACTTAAGACAGTGAAACTTTGAAGTCTACTTTAAGTCTTGTATTTTAGTTTCCGCTGCTGTATTTAGCTAGCTATTTGCAGAATATATTCATTTGTGTTCATTAATAAGACCAGGCAGAGCATCAGTATTACAGATTGGAACCATATGAGAAGTCTTTCCCCCCCACACCCTTTTCAGTGATATTTTGGGAACTCGTATGGTCCCAGGGATACTCAGCTCGTCCTTCAGTAGAGTATTTGTGGTAACATTAGCAGGGCTTTGGAAAAACTGTGCTAGTTGTGGAATTTTTAATAACCTATGCTAACCCCATGTAGCAGAAAAACTTAGCATGCATATCTGATGCCCGTGATTTGGCTATGAAGAAGTGTATGTAAATGTAATATCTCATAGCCATGTACTTGGCATAGTGTTTTTACTTATGCTTCTCTTCTGTTCTTATTTACACTTCTAGCTAAATAACTCAACATGATTGCTATAAGCAGGGATCCTGGTTTTCTCTCTTCAAAAATTGCAAATTCTCTGATTTAAAAACCCATCACGGATTCTCTGATTTTTAAAAACTCCAAATCCACAATTAAAATGAAACGCCACTAATATATATATATAAAATCAGTTGAACACAATGTTTTATTGATGTGTTTACCATTATAACACAATTTGGAAGCCTACTAGTGCCTTAGTCACTGTAATAAAATTAATTCTAAATACTTACAAATTTTGGCATTTGATTTTGCGCTTCTTTATCATGGAAAATTTTAAAGCTTCTCCTGCCCCCTTCACTTACCAGGATGTGGGTCCACCTGCAGCTGTTTGTGCCCCACCCCCTCACTGCTTAGTGAAGCCCTGATATGCCGGTGCCCTGCCCATGCCACTGCCCCTCACCCCAAACCCACAGCCCGCTGGCCCTGCTGGTGCCCCTCGCTCCCCACCCACAGCCCGCACCCTGCCAGAGGGGGCCCCCAGCTGCCAGGGCTACAAGGCTGGAGACCCAGGACCACAGCCCCCTGCCTCTGGCAGTGCCTGAGCCCCAGCTGCTGCCTATGGGAGGCAACAGCTGCTGCAGCCCAGTGGAGTGTGGAGCCTGGCTCCCTCTCCCCCACGGGCATCATGGCTTGAGCAGAGCCTGTGGGAGGTGGGGCGGGGCAGATGCAGGCTGGAGGCTGCAGGCTCAGCGCTGCTCCCCTCCCCCTGGGGCCTCCACAGCCCAGCGGGCAGCACCCAGAATGGCAGGGCAGACGCTGGTGCCATTGCTGGGAGCTCCACACTGCCATGGTGAGGCACTCCCTGCCCACCAGGCAGCAGTGGGGGTGATGGTACGGAGTTGTCCCCTGCTGCTGCCGGGCAGCCAGAGTGCACCTGCCATAGTGATGTAGGGCTGCCAGCAGCAGCACCATGCCTCCCCACCCTGCTATGCCCTGCCATGCTGGATCCCACCTGCTGGGAGGCCCCAGGGGGAAGGCTGCAGGGCAGGAAGCCCTGAGCCTGCAGCTGTCAGCCTGCATCCGCCTCCACCCCATGCACAGATCTGGGGGTCATGTGCCCCCATGCCTCCCCAGAAGTGCATGCAGTGGTTGCGAGCCAACTGTGTCCCCTACCCCATCCCTCCCTCTGCTCCTTGGACAAGCTGCCCTGCTCCCTGCCTGGGCCCTGTGACCACATGTTCTGGCCCTGGGTCTCAGGCCCTATGTATCACCCCAAATAGGCAGTGCTCCCAGCCCTAGCCCTGCCCAACTTGCTTCCTCCCTCACTGTGGGGGCCTCAGTCCCCTCTCCCACCCCAGACTTACCTGCAGGGAGCTGCTCTCCATGTTGCCTGGCTGCCATGTGCATGTGGGCGTGCACATGCATGTAGTGCCCCATACCTGATCGCTGCCCTCCACCCATGCCCTCCAGCCCCTTGCAGGCTAGAACTCTGTCAACCTGCAAGGAGAAACCTGCCATTTCCCATGGTTTTTCTCCTGAAAGTTGGAAAATCCATGTTTTTCCATGACTACAGAAAATCCAGATCTCTGACTATAAGGAGATGTTTGTGGCTTGGTTTCCATGCTCAAGTGTCTTTTTTATTTCTTTTTGAATCTTGTAGATCCTTGGCATGGGCTCCAGACGCTTGTTGACCCTAACACACAGGGCCCAAGTAAAACGTTTCACTCAAGATTTATTGAAACTTCTTAAATCCCAGGCCAGCAAACAAGTTATTGTGAGAGAATTCTTACAGGCTTATCATTGGTAAGTCAACTCTTGTCTTTAGCCACCTGTCAAAACATCCAGTCCATATTTTAATTTAATTTTGTTCTAAAATACAATGTGTAATAGGGTTGAAGTTAGCATTCTCTATAATAACAGACAATTGTGACTCTCTTTTTCACTCTTGTGTTTTATTTTCGAACTTGTTGAAAATCTGATAGATAACACTAGAATAAAATTAAAATATTACAACCTTTATAGAATTCAGTGTTGCTTTACTTTAAAAAATTAAATAAGCTAAGTGCTTCATTTAATTGTTTGCTGCTTTTTAAATCAGGTTACTATGTTTTAACTTTTAATCCCCGAGAGCATAATTTTAAGATTGCTGTGAATATAGTTTTGTAAAGCAAATTTAGTCTGAGAAAGCATGTGCTATTGTGCACCTTTTTTTGGCTAAAAAGAAAAAATGTTTCAGCCAGATTTTTTGACACGTATATTGGGACGAATTCTAAGGGGGATTTTACATTGCCGGTATTAAAATCCTATCTCCATTGTTTTTAGAATAGCAGAGCCCTTTTTTAGTAGGGAGCCTCAACATTTAAAGGAAGATGGGAAATAGCAGTTTAATGTATGCCTTTATGAGACTAGTATGTGAGCCTTTGTCAGTCAACATTTTCTTGTTTTACGAAGAAAAAAAGCATTTCTTTCCCTCGAAAGCTACTAAAGTTTTTTCTCTATTATAGTTTCAGGGTTTTAATGGCAAGTCTTACACTTGAAAGCGTGAATGTGCATTATGCACGTTCTTCTGAGGGATTCCGTGGCAGAAATTCTACATTACTGTTTAGAACAGTGCAAGCCAACCTTTTTGGCAGGTATGCTGCAGATCAGCCCTGCACCATGCCCCAAAGCTGCTCCAATCCCGTTCACCTGCCCAAGCAGCTGTTCTTCTTTCTGTTCCCTTCTCTGTGCTTCCTGCCCAGTGTGTTGCTCTGCTTTCTGCTTCATGCCATATCTGCCACTGTGCTGCCTGTGCCATGTGCCACTCAAAGGCTGCCTGTGGCATGTGTGTTGCAAGTTGCTTGTTGATCCCAGTGGGAACAACCTGATACAGGGCTGCTCCTGCCCTGCTCTGCCTCCATGCAGCAGCCAGGGGGAGCTCCAGGCTCCCCCTTGATGGTAACTGGGCAGGGAGTGCAGGTCCAGTCCCCATGTGCATGGGGCCAGGCTGCAGCCGCAACTGTCTCTTGGCCCCATGCACATCAGGAGGGGTCCTGACCATGCCAGGAGACGGATGCTGCTGCAGAACTGTCCTGTCCTGTGCACATGGGGACAAGCTCTGTACCTAGTGGGACCTCTGCGCACAGCCCAGGGCTTGGCTGGGAACTATCCTGTTCTGGGACAGGTCCCAGCCAGCTCTGGGCTGGGTGGGGAATCCTCCTCGTGCAGGCAGCTCCTGGCCCCAGCTCCACAACAGGAGTAGGGGCTGGAACATTGCTCCCTGCCCCCAGCAGCTGCCTGATGCCTATTTTTTATTTGTATTAGTCTGAGGTTGGTACATACAACTTGATTCTCTTCCCCATGCATCTCTAGTTTTAGATTGTTCGTGGAATAATCATGGTTTATGATGTGTTGATGTTACTGACAGTATGAACATGATTCTTAATTTCGTTGAGAGTAGGGTTTTCTTCTGATACCTAATTCTAATTTTATAGGTGGAAACCAACTGTTGTTTTGCCATTTTACTGACCAGTGTAGAAGTATTCTTTACTTGCTTTTCAATTAAATTGCATATAGGTGTTTCTCTAAGGATTGGGATGTTACTGAATATGGAGTATGCGAGTTAGTGGATGTAATAGCAGAAATTCCAGATACAACCATCTGTTTGTCTCAGCAGGACAATGAAATGGTAATATGCATTCCCAAAAGAGGTACAGCTTAAACTTTTTTCTTTTTGCCATTGTTCAGTAGATTTTTTTTTTTTCATATACTTAAGCTCTTTGGCTAACATAAATCAGAATAGAAATGTTGTCTTTCTCTCAGGGCTCCTTTTGGGTCCTGTTCTCATTGTGGAAGTTAAATGATACCTTTCCTATCATAACTCTGTATCTGAGATGCTTGTATTTAATGACAGGAATTTTTCCTTTGACATTACTAGAATGAAATTAACTTTATGCTATGACTGTTATGTTCTTGTATCAGTTTTAGCAAATAGCATCAAGTGTAGTTTAATTTTGTTTGAAAGATGGCTAGGTAAGTCTGTCTGTTTTACTAATCAAGTTTTTTGGTTGTCTCCACTTTACCAAAGAACAATTGGAAACTATCTGAAATAATCATGTTAAGCTCTGTAGAGATTTGCTATAAGGATAAGACTTCTTACAATAAGGAAACAACGGCTTGTGACCAGCAATAATTAATTTTTACTCTTCAATCATCCACAATCACATTTTGCTTGTAGGCCTTGTCTCATGTGACTCCACAAAAAATTTGGCTTACTTCACTCAGTTGTTTCTTTTATTTTTAGAACGCACTCAAGAAGAAATGGAAAGAACAAAACAGTTCTCCAAGGAGGTAGTTGACTTGCTGCGTCATCAACCTCATTTCCGAATGCCCTTTAATAAATTTATTCCTTCTTACCACCACCACTTTGGCCGTCAATGCAAACTTGCTTATTATGGGTTTACTAAACTCCTTGAACTCTTTGAAGCCATACCAGATGTCTTACAAGTAAGTCTGAGAATTCCAAGGTTTAAGTGCTTTTCATATCATATTTGTCAAGCTGGTTTTTTGCCTTCATCAAGAACAATTTTTGGTAGCTTACTACACTGCATGTTGTGAATTGTATTACTTGCCTACGGCCCTACTTTACTAAATACATCTGATCCTCCCTATTTTTTATTTTGGATAGGCTGCACAATTTTTGAAGTCCTTTTTTTCCTCTAAGTTACTAATAATCTTTAAGTAGTTTAAACTGAATTTTATATGTTGAATTTAGCACATGTTTACTTTCTGCATTTCTCTTAATTTAGTCTGTAGGTCTACATTCAATCAACATTTTAATCCAAACTTAACCAGGTGTCCTTTTAGGGCTTCCTTTCAATTCGACTTGTTTTGTAGATCCTCTTTGGAAGGTAGCTGAATATTTATGCAAATTAAAGAATACGTACCTTAGTTTCTTGCATACGACGTGCCCCCAAGTAATACACAACTTGTTTTTAAAAGACAGAATGCAGGGGGCAGGAGGGGAGAGATGGCTGCTTAGAGCAAGAACAGGGCCTGATCTTTAGCTGACTCACCGTCCCTTTCCTGCATAATAAAAAATGAATCCCTAGCTGCTGCTGAGCACTGGTCTCCCTAGGTGGATCTATGATTTTAAAAAGAGATAAGAAGTTTGTGATAAACAGCTAAAGAGGATGTGAAATGAAGACAGGAGTGCTAGAGGACAAATTGTCATAAGAAAGGTTAGTTTGATCAGTGGAACATCAAGACCATTAAAAAGGGGAGACTACCATTAACACCTGCAAAGTGAAAAACAGACTCCCTACAGCAGCTCAGGTATTACTGTTCAGTGTAGAGCAGGAATCAAACCAGGGTGCCTCTTATTCTAAGCAAAAAATCAGCTTCTCCACTTAATACACACACCTGATTTTAGTTTGCATGTCATGTTAGGCAAATACCCTCTTCTTCCCCCCCCCCCC